GGCCTTCGTTGTGTGTACACCCTGATGGCCTTCGTTGTGTGTACCCTGTCAATCAATGGTTACAAAACTGCTAACATAAATAGTGTCCTTATTTTTCTTCAAAATACTCTGTAGGAAACCTCCTCTTTCATGACTCACGTATAGTCAGCCAAGTAAATCAAAATATCAGGTAAACTAAATGGAAGCAATATATTTAGAGTCTTGTTCTTACCAGTTTTTTTTTTTTTAAAAGTCATAAACATTTTATCTCTTTATTAGGGTGGGCACTTTTTAATAAGCTGTTATCCAGAATTAATATTTAACCAACAAAAGTTTGGAGGGTTGGTGGGAGACGGGTGACAAGCAGTTTCAAGACGAGATTCCCAAGCAGGCTTCCTGCAGTTTAACGAAAGATCTGCATAGGCCAATTCGCCAAACCATCTTTGCTTTGAGCTAAATGTATTTCCTTTGGTGGTGGTAGAAGAGAGAGGAGGCAAATGATGAAGCAGAAACTACATGCCATAACCTCCCCAGAAATACTGCAGCTTGTGGCCGTAACTGTATATGGGGCTCTATGTAGTCCCAGAATGAGAAAGAACTATGTGTCTACATTCTATTTCTGTCCTTACAAATATCTGATTTTTTTCCAGCTTTCTGAGAAAAATTTGATATTGTTGTTGTCTAAGCACATTTAAACTTCAGCGGAAATAACTGCCAAGTGATTCATGCCTATGTAGGTGAATATGACGATTGTATCTGGAGCCCCAGTGCGCCATTTTCATTTCGCTTTAAATAAAAAACAAAATGTATCTATGTCAGTCAGTGCCCTTCTGCTGTACTCAGAGGTATCAAACAGGCTACAATTATGATTGTGAAGTGATTGTGTCATATTGGAGGAAGGTTTATTGCTTCTGAGTCTGCAAGGCAGTAACACATATTCTGTTTCATATGACTCTTTATATCATTGTTTGGCTGTGACTAGAATAATCAAATGCCATCAAACGCTGTCAGATTCAATTTACAGTATTTTTCATTGAAGCGGGCTTTCTGCATTGTATTTCCTGTTTTCCTTGTCTATAGCTGCCATGGAATAGTCACTGTAATCATGAGCTTTATTTACAAAACCAACAGAGTGAAGCCACATCCTGCTCTACAACAGATACTTTATTTCCCTTTATTCAGAATAGGAATTTGATGTGCTTTTCTCATACAATTAGCATTAAGTAGATGAAAGAAAACTATTTCAAGAGGATGGGCATTTCAGAGCCTGCACGAACGTGCTTTGCGTAAAACGTGAATCCACACGAGCCATTTTTACATGTTAATGTGTATTTGAATCAGAAATATTCTTCTGCAAATTAATGTTTGCTGAGAAGACATTTGGCTTGCGCATTTTCGGTAATGTCATTTACATAACCAGAAAGGCAATAATACATCCCTCTTTCATAATTTTCCTACAGATACTTAACTCATCACTGAAGACTGATCTGAATCAAAGGGTTTCAGTATCTAAAGTTAAGAGGAGCCTAAACTAAGTTTCCATGGGCATCCAGGAAGTACCACCCAATAAGGGAAGGTGTGAGGCTACTCAGGAGGGAAGAACAAAGGGCGTTGAAGTAGGGGTGAGGATCTGAGAAAAACCGCGTTGTGCTTTGGAATGGGGTTTTCAATCTGCCGATGTTTTATGTCTGCCAGAGTCCGGGTTTTCTGTCTCTGAAAGCAAGCTTTCTTGCCTCTGTGCTTTATTTTCCCCTTTCTGTCTTGCTCCCCTCCCCTCCCCTCTCCTCCCCTCTTCTCCTCAGCCCTTCCCCTCCCTAACCTTTCTCTCCTCACTCTCTCCCTTCCTCCCTCCTCCCTTCCTTCTCTCTTTCCTTCTTTTCATTTTCGGTGGATTACCTGTAATAAATTCAGTACAAGATGGTGAAAACAAGCTGCATTAACAGCACCTAGCCAGCTGAGTGGAGACTCGTTAAAGCAGGAGAACCAGAGCAGAGCCTCTCTTGCATATGAAAAACAACATCTTTCCAGGAAGAGAAGAGGCTGTTCCAGCAGCCGCGATGTAACTAAGGATGGGAAATACTAGAATTCTCTTCCCAGATCTGGTTTGTCCTCTGCAGAGACTAAGCTCTCTTGGCCTCGCTCTGCAGGATTGCTCTGTCACCTCATCAAATGTAAGGAAGGGTTCTACGAGCTAAACTATGATGTCTGGTCTTGCAAACAGGTCTCAACCAAAACTGTTGCACAGTAGTTACAGCTATTTTCCTTGGACAATATGTAATTCTCGGCATCAGGCTTAGTCTCTAGTAGGTGCTCCAAAAGACATGAATCCCCATACATTTCCTTATGGAAATAGAAAATATATTTTCTGGAGTATTACACATTCTTAGAAATTAAAAACAATAGTAATAGTCCGTCTTACCTGTGAATAAAGTAGCTGAGGATGACTCCATTTGGTGTTTTCGGTGGTGTCCATGTAAGCTCTACGCAAGCCGGCCCCACTGCCTTAAGCGTGGGGGAACTAAGATCCTTTGGGGCTGCTTCAGATGTTTTAGCAAACACCCTACTGCTTACTCCACAACCTCCTTCAAAAAATTAGAGGCTTTTAGTAATTTATCAAATGGAAAAGAGTTGCATATGCATATAGAAGGGTAAGGATATAACAAAAATCGATTTATCTGAGCTTTATATATACGCTTGTATACGTCGTCTAGGCTAGTACTATAAATCTCTATAAGGTAAATGTTGACACAGGGAATCACTTTGGGAAAACCCATTAATTAACCGTATATTGACACAGGCATTGGCCATAAAGCATAGGCTTGTCTCAACTTAGGTATCTCTTGTTTATTGCAATCGTTGTAGCCAGAAAGTGAAAATGAGCTAGAATTTCACAAGTGTGCATGATTTACACATCTTGTACACTCCTCATATTTTATTTTGGCCAATATTTTAAAATAATATCCATTCTGCAAACACTCAGGAATCAAAACAAATAATTTGACACATATCGTACGTCCACAGCACAGATTCGAGGACATAAGGCTGCAGAAGCTGACTTTACATTTAACTCAAGGAAACAAGGCTTGAAAGCTATGTCCATGTTGATCAGGTGACAGCTAAAGCAAGGAAAGCAATACCCTTCAAACCTTGTTTATTTTATAGAGAGAAGTGGAAAAATTGACTCGGACTTGCTCCCAGCTCCTGCTAATTTCTGAGATGAAGGAAAATTGGAAACCTCTGAAGTCCTAACAACTCTATGGGAAATAACATCCATTTGGAAATGGAAGTTCCTAAGGACATGGTAATACGGGAGCTCTAGCTAAACGTTAAGTATCCAAAACCCATCGCTGTTGAGTTGATTCTGACTCATAGCAACCCTACAGGACAGAGTAGAACTGCCCCATAGGGTTTCCAGGGCTGTGAATCTTTAAGGGAGCAGACGGACACATCTTGTCTCACACAGCCGTGGTGGGTTCCAACCACCAACCTTTCAGTGAGTAGTCCAATGCTTAACCACTGCCCCACCAGAGCTCCTGCATGGTAAGTATAAGACTGGTAAATGTTTTTAGTTTAAGATGAAGCAATTTGTACATCAATGTGAGTTACACATTATTTTCTCTTAATAATTGGGTCTTATGTTTCGTATGTATATGTGTGTATATATATATATATATATGTAGCCTTTGAGATATATATGTAGCCTTTGAATTGACACTTTTGATTTATGGCGTTTGTGAAGAATACTGACTATACCATGGACTGCCAAAAGAACAAACAAACCTGTCTCAGGAGAAATACAGCCAGAACGCTCCTTAGAAGCAAGGATGGAGAGGAGAGACTATGTCTCACATACTTTGGACGTGTGATCAGGAGGGACCGGTCTCTGGAGAAGGACATCATGCTTGGTAGAGTAGAGGGTAAGCAAAAAAGAGGAAGACCCTCAACGAGATGGATCGACACAGTGGCTATAACAATGGGCTCAAGCATAACAAGGATCATGAGGATGGTGCAGGACGAGGCAGTGTTTCATTGTGTTGTACACAGGGTCACTATGAGTCGGAATTGACTTGATGACACTTAACACAACAACCATATATACATATATATATAATAGATATAATCTATGTATTTAATAGGGAGTCCCTGGATTGAAAATGATTAAGCAGTAGACTACTAGCCAAAAGGCTGGCTGTTCTCACCTATCCAAAGACGCCTTGTAAGACGGGCCTGGCAATCTGTTTCCAAAAGTTTTTTTTTAAAAAAAAAGCGAAAACCAAACCCATCGCCATCAAGTCAATTCCGACTCAGAGTGACCCTATAGGTTACAGCCTTGAAAACCCTATGGAGCAGTTACATACAACATCTATTTAATGTGTAATAGTGATAACTAAGATAATTATTGTGTAGCTCTCTTGATTTTCTGCTCCACCCTCCTAAATCTCAGTTTACATTTAAAGCATTATCCATTTGGAGGGAAGAATGGAATGGAGAGGCTCTTCTGTAAGACATCATAGACAGATGATGATGATTTCACTGACCACAAGCCTGAAACACGAAGCTCAGAAACGAGTTTATGTATGTGAGACAGGGTTCAGGCAAGCACTGGAGAAAATGTAACGTTTCTTTGGGTATAGTTTAACTTCTAAATAACTACTTTCTTCTCCCTCCTGAATACAGTTTAAATAAGTTTCATCAAGGTGAAAACGTTTTCTATGGAATTTTTGTAATACCATTTTGTTTTACATTACCAATGACTCCTTTATGTGAGCTAGGTGTTTTTCTTTTAAAGTGCCTTATAAAACAAGACTTTGCAAAACCACCATTTTCACGTATTTAAATATGCAAGATTTAATGTGCAGAAATGCGTAGTGCTTCGCTCAATGCCAGGTTCTGATTTTTCCGGGTAAACAGTCCACTACAAATAAGAAATGGAATGTTAGTCTTTTTATTTGAATTGAGAATATATTCCTCTTTGGTTGAACGTTTTTTATGAAGCACCTCTTCAGTCCAAGTCAGTGTATGAAAGACACTCACCATTTTGACACGCTTGGATCCTTATCTCATACTCAGTGAACGGGGATAAATTGTCCAGCACAATGGAACAATGACGACCAACGGGGGAGATCAGAGGTGCTTCACTTCCAGCATTGAGTAAGACATTGTACTCCACAGGCATTTGGGGCATGAGAATCCCTTTACAGAGAGAGAGAGACAGAAAGAAAAAAAAAAGCATGCTACATAGAATGGCTGAGAAATGATTGTTCTTTTACAGCAACATATATTTGAAATTTTGTAATTGAGAGACAGATTATTGCTTAAATGGTAATTAAAAGCTGCATGAGACTTAAGTTGGAAAATATTATAATGCATATTCCAACTGTTAGAAATGTGCATCACCCATTTTCAATAAATATGAAGTATAATAGTCCCATTTAAAGGTATACTCTTTTGTCAAATATAAATGAAGGTGCAATGTTTCATTTTTTAAACAAGACAAGGAAATTAGAAATGGTGTCACATACTTTTTCTAGGCTTACTTACTCTTAAAGCACATAAACAACAACACCAGTTTTGCTTGTGACAATAATTTTTCTATAGAGTATTGTGTATGCATGCTGTCTGACATAGATCCTTGATATAATAGCCCATAAAATATCCAAATCATAGTCTACCTAGAGAATTCCCAGTGCATCAATATCAAGTCAGGACAGTCCACTCTGTCAGTGAGAATTATGGATCTAAATCCATATCAAATTTAAGTACAAAAATTGTCATTTTTCACCATTGCTTCGTAAAAAGAGATGATCTAGACACTTTAGCCACTTCACACTCTATTTGTAACGTATTGCATTGGGCAAATATGCTGCAAAAGACCTCTTTAAAGTGTTAAAAAGCAAATATGTCACTTTGAGGACTAAGGTGCACCTGACCCAAGCTATGGTGTTTCAGTCGCCTCATATGCATGGGAACGCTGGACAATGAATAAGGAAGACCGAAGAAGAATTGATATCTTTGAACTATGGTGTTGGCGAAGAATATTGAACATACCATGGACTGCCAGAAGAACGAACAAATCTGTCTTGGAAGAGTGCTATTTAGAAGAGAGAATGGTGAGACTTTGTGTCCCGTACTTTGGACATGTTATCAGAAGGGACCAGTTCCTGGAGAAGTACATCATTCTTGGAAAAGTAGAGGGTTAGTGAAAAAGAGGAAGACTCTCAAGGAGATGGATCAACACAGTGGCTGCAACAATGGTGTCAAATACAGCAACGATTGTGAGGATGCTGTAGGACCAGGCAGTGTTTCATTCTGTTGTACATGGGGTTGCTATGAGTCAGAACCGACCCAACGGCACCCAACAACAACAATCTATTTATTTAATTAAATACCTATCCGTTTTATTTAAGGTCCCTGGGTGGTGCAAACAGTTTGTGATTGGCTGCTAATGGAAAGATTGGCGTTTCAAACTCACCCAGCATCGCCACGAAGAAAGCCATGGCAGTCCGCTTCCATAAAGATTACAGCCAAGAAAACCCTATAGAGCTACTCAGTAATATTTGGGGTCGCCATGAGTTGGAATTGACTGGACAGCAATTTTTTTTTTTTTTTTTTTTGATAAGTTTTACTTGGTCATGAACAACATGGACACTTTTTCAAGGGGAGATATGAGCCTTTAATGAATAATATAATGGAGTTTCCATTAAATTATATCATTGATCTGGTAGCTTATAACACTTGTGGGTTTAAACACTTACTTTTGGAGGACATCAATAAATTTGTTTTTGCTATAGGAACAATGGAGTCTCCGGATGGTGCAAACAATTAACACATTTGGCCACTAACCCAAAGGTTGGAGGGACACCTTAGAAGAAAGGCCTGGCAATATACTTCTGAAAAATCAGCCATTAAAAACCCCGTGGAACACACTTCTACTCTGACACACATAGGGTTGCCATGACTTGACTTGATGGTAACTTTTTTTTTTTTTAGAAACAATGAAATATACATGTCATGGTTTGAATTATGTCCCCCCAAAAATGTGTTTATCAGTTCGGCTGGGCCATGATTCCCAGAATTGTGTGGTTGTCCTCCATTTTGTGATTGTAATTTTATGTTAAAGAGGATTCAGGTGGGATTGTAACACCACCCTTACCCAGGTCACATCCCTGATCCAATGTAAAGGGAGTTTCCCTGGGGTGTGGCCTGCACCACCTTTTATCCCTCAAGAGATAAAAGGAAAGAGAAGCAAGCAGAGAACTGGGGGGACCTCATACCACCAAGAAAAAACCACTGCGAGCAGAGCGCATCCTTTGGACCCAAGGTTCCTTCACAGAGAAGCTCCTAGTCCAGGGGAAGACTGATGATGACAAGGACCTTCCTCCACGGGCGACAGAGACAGAAAACCTTCCCCTGGAGCTGACACCCTGAATTTGGACTTCTAGCTTACTAGACTGTGAGAAAATAAATTTCTCTTTGTGAAAGCCATCCACTTTATTTCTGTTGGAGCAGCACTAGATGACTAAGACAATACATATAACATCATCACTGAGAAGACAGTGCAGGACTCAGTGACCCATGAGAGATAAGCCTAAAGAATGAGATGTGGTTTTTCTTTCTATAGGTGCAGCCCCAATTCTTAAGGTGCAGAAGAGCTAGTCCAAACCAAAGATATTCAGGATTTTGGGTGGGGTGGATGTCAACAAGGAGTTTCTGAAGGAGATATTGACCTGAGTCAGAGGAGCTGATCAATTATTCTTTTAGAGAGGTGATACATTGTGCTGAATCTAGCAATGCAGATTGAGAATTTTTATTTAAAAATTAGAACATCATGATTAAACTCTCTGTTGCATTTATCCCAATAGCTTCAGCTACTACTATCTTATCATTGATACCTAAACACTTATCTCCACCTTCATAGCTTTCCTACATTCCAGAATCATATTTTCAATAGCCTACTGGATATTTCCACATAAGTACTCCACAGAGGCCTCAATCTGAATAGGTTCAAAACAGAATTAGCTATATTTCCCACTCACAAACTTGCTTTTATTTTTGAGTAAGTGATAATACCATCTTTTCATTTCCTAAGCTGGAGATCTTAGAATAGTCTAACACTGCTGTTTTCACTCCCAAACACAATTAACCACTAAATTTTATCAATTCCTTCTTCCAGAAAGTTAGGCTTCATATTTAATTAGCAACAAGTGGCCATAGAAGGTGATAACATGATTCAACCTGTATTTTAGGAAGCTGACACTGGTGGCAGGTGAATGATGAGCTGAAAACATGATAGAGAGAGCAGGTAGGGTGAGGAATGCTTGAAAGCCACTGCAATGGCTGGAGCAATAACACATACAACAACAGTCATTCTTTGTGTTCTGACTTTATGCCAAGCTGCGTGCATTATCTCACTTAATTTGGTAACATGTGAACTTCATAATGAAGGCAAGAAATTTCTTCTACTCCCCACTGTAGTTCTAGTATCTAGATTTTAGCACAAAGTAGAAGCTCAATAAATGCTGGTTAATTAAATGAGTGAATAAAGCCTCATACAATACCGTAAGATAAATTTATTACCTTTTTTTTAAGATGAGGAAAGTAAGACATGGAGAAGTTAAGTAACTTGTTCTAGACAGCACAGGATTAATTGGCATAGCCAGGACTTGAACTCACACCCATCTGATACCAAAGCTAATCTTTCTATATTTATGCTCTTTCTTGATAATGGAATCTTGAACTGGGACACTTGAGGGAAAAAATGAAAGAACAGTTTTGAAAGACTCTCTGCCAATAGACAGAACAGGTCTTTGGGACGGATTAGCCACAGGGGCAAAAACAATGGAGGAATCAGAAGCACCACTGATAGATCAAACAAATGAGAGGCAATATTTGAAGTTCTGGAGACCAGTGTTATAGATTGAATTGTTTCCCAAAAGTGTGTGTCGATTTGGTTAGGCCATGATTCCCAGTATTGTGTGGTTGTCCACCATTTTTGTGATCTGATGTGATTATCCTATGTGTTCTAAATCCTAACCTCTATGATGATAATGAGGCAGGATTAGAGACAATTATGTAAATGAGGCAGGACTCAATCTACAGGATTAGGTTGTATGTTGAGTCAATCTCTTTTGAGATATAAAAGAGAGAAGCAAGCAGGGCGGGGTGGGGGACCTCATTACCACCAAGCAAGGAGAGCCAGGAGCAGAGTGCATCCTTTGGACCCAGGGTCCCTGTGCTGAGAAGCTCCTAGACCAGGGGAAGATTGATGACAAGGATTTTACCGCAGAGCCAACAGAGACAGAAAGCCTTCTCCTAGAGCTGGCACCCTGAATTTGGACTTCTAGCCTCCTAGACTGTGAAAGAATAAATTTCTATTTGTTCAAGTTATCCACTTGCAGTATTTCTGTTATAGCAGCACTAGACAACTTGTGCTTGTGCCCGGAGTGGAATGATGCTCTAACCGATACCTACAATGTGGAAGCGGTTTTGGAATTGAGTAATGAGTGCAGGCTGGAAGAGTTTTAAGATGCTTAATAGTAAAAGCCTAGATTGTCTTGAAGAGACTGTTGTTGGAATTATGGACATCAAAGACAATTCTGGTGGGTGCTCAGAAGGAAGCGAGGAGAGCTGTAACTAACACCAGAGATGGTGCAGCTGATGAGAAACAGCAGCAGAGAAACAGCAGCAGCAAAACCAGGAGACAGGTGCATGACGGCACATGAGCTGACCCACAGAGCAAGAAGCTTCTGGCAGAGTGGGGTGCCTCCAGGCACTTATTGGTGGAGCTAGTCTTGCCGACCCACAGAGTGAGAGAGCTGAGTACCTTCCAGCCAGGGTTTATTGGCAGAGTGGGGTGCCTCCTGGCACTTATCAGTAGAGCTAAAGAGCTTTGTAACACTTGCCCGAACAGGGCAGAGGGTGGGCCGGCCTAAGAGGCCTGAGGGGCCGAGGGGCCAAGGGGCCAAGGAACCGGAAAGCAGAGGCTGAAGAGACAAATAGCACAGGAAGCAGAGCTGCCTCAGTCTCGAAGGGTAGGTTCACAACCTCTGGGGTCTCAAAGGGTATGGCCTGTTGGGTCTCAAAGGGTGGGGCCAAGGCCTCCTGGGTTTCAAAGAGTCAGATGTTCACAACTCAGTTCTGGAGAGTGGGAGTGCTGTTCACAAGTGCCAGGGGATGGGGCTGCATCCACTGCC